TAGTGCACACAACCTGACCTGTGGAGCAATAACACACAAGTGTTCCAATGTGCCGTGGCCTGGTCGCAACGTAGCAATTATGCACGAGCTTTTGGCCACAACAACACAATCATCACATGATATGACTTTTTTTCTCTTCCCTGAAATGAAATGTAAGTTGCAGGGTCACCATTTCAGCACAGTTTAGCAGCTTCAGTGCTCAGATGGTGCTTGATGTATCTCCATGAAGAGACTCCCAGGAGCGTTACAAGTGTTGCAGAAGCACTGGGAGCGGTGTATCATCGCACAAAGAGACTATTTCAATGGGGATAGTGGTCGAATTTAAATCAGGTACAGCCTTTGATTTTTGTAGGTGCAGTCTCAAAGCTTCAACCCCGAAGTTAACATGAGCTAGTGGAGACCACATGGAAACAGAAGAAAGCCATTGAGGAAAGGCACTCAGGAGTGAGCATTAACATCCTTTAAGTTTCCCACAGAATGCGTCTTAGCAAACGAGGCAGCCAAGAAGTGTTTCACTTTTTAGTAATGTTAGAATGTAAATTCCTTTAACCCTCCTATTATCTATGAGGGGTCAATTTGGTCATCCTTGCCTTGCAGCAAGAAGGTCGCTGGTTCGCGTCCTGGTGGAGGCACTGGTATCTTTCTGCGTTTGCATGTTCTCCCCGTACAGCGTGGTTTCTCTCCGGGTTCTCCAGCTTCCTCCCACACAGTCAAAAAACACGTTGAGGTTAATTGGTGATTCTGAATTGTCTGTAGGTGTGAATGTGAGTGTGCTTGGTTATCTGTCTCTAAGTGTAGCCCTGTGATAGACTGGAGACCTGTCCAGGGTGTCCCCTGCCTTCACCCTGAGTCAGCTGGGATAGACTCCAGCGACCCTAGTGAGGATTAAGTGGTGTATAGATAATGGATGGATGGATATTTCTGGAGGTTTCTGGGGTCAAATTGAACCCAAGGATAAAAGATGTCAGTAAATTTGAAGGTAATAGGAGGGTTAAAGTCTTACATGTATTACCTTTAAAAGGGGACAGTACAGGTTTAACGTCATAATATCATCAATAATTCCACTGAGGTGTACCTCTGGTGTATAGTTTTGGCCCACTGGGACACTGATGATATTAGCTCAGCCTGNCAGCGAACTATTCCAGGGCACTTCAGACCGTTTTTATGGACTTCTAATAGCCGTGAATGCTTGGAGGGGGGGACTGCTAGATCTCGAACTAATGCAGTTTTTTTTTCCTTTTCATTCAACCTTGTGGTGAATGTGGGGATACAGTGAAGGATATTACATTAAAAAAAATCTGGCAGAGAAAATAGACTAAAAAAAATGCTAGGGATACTGTAATGTTCTGCAAGAAATGACTGCAAATATCTGTAAAATAAAACATTTTCATGAATGTGAATACAGTTAAAGTGTCATTTTATGGCCATACATTGTAGAAGAACACATTACGACTTGTAGAAACACAGATATTTGATTGGACATTATTGTTTCCTGTTTTTTTTGTTTGTTTGTTTTTGTTTTTTTGTACTACATATTATCTGTCATTTTCCAAAACAGGAAAAATATGTAAAATAATAGTATTTTTTCTAAATTAAATATAGAAAATAATTGTGTAATTTTACAGTGTTAAAAAAAAAAAATTAGCATTTGTAAAAACACATTTCTTTTTGTCAATATGTAAATTAACATATTTTTCTGATTCATTATATTCAGTAATTTAATAAAACAAGAAAAATCTGTAAGATAACACTTCCAATTTTTAAAATATTGATTTAAAAATCATTTTAAAAAATGGTAAATCCTTCAAATACATAATTTTCCTTCAATTAATAACAAATATTTGCTGTTTTTTTTCCCTGATTTAAATAATGTACAAAATAGTGTAAATTTGCAGTCAAACGTTCATTTAAAAAAAGAACATCCCTGAAAATGTCTATATATATATTTAAAGTCATTATGTAGATATTATTTACAGTTTTGGCCTTTTAAGGTTTTTTGTTTGTTTTTAGAGTTAACATGTAAATTAATGCAATGTAATGTAAACTTGTTCAAAAATACTGTTTCACAAAAAACATTTGAAAAGAACACACATATATATTTTACAGTGTTAAGTAAAAATTATTTTTTATAAGGTGATAAAGGCTTTATGCTTTCATGTGAAGAAAGATCCTGGACTCTATGTGGTCTGAACATTGCGTTCTCTCTCTTTATCAAGCACAGAATGAATCAAAATGTCCTTGAAAAAATGAAACATACACCCATTTAGACAACTGCAAAAGTATAACAGTGTAGTTTATTCTGCTGGTCAGTTCTGTACAAATATTTAAATAAAATCTCAGCTTTCTTCAAAGAAGTTGTTAGCTTTTGAACACAAAATAAATACATCATGTTGCTATAAAATATGTACAAATTTGTTGCTCTTCCTGTACAAACGAGGACTTCAGAACAAACAGAAGCCAGAATGGTTGGACACAGTGGAAATAATTTAGTGATAAACAATGGAAATTTAAAAATTATCAACAGGGTTTCCTAGTTTATGTCTTCAGTGAGGTTTGTTTTTTTTTCTTTTAGTTTTCCGAGACGTCCTCAGAGAAGTTGATTTTGTCGTCGCTGGTGATGCTGTCCACGATGGAGGACAGACGGAGGAGGCTGGAGGACGCAGAGGATTCACTGGTTCCTGGAAAAGCAAAGGACGCTGACTTTGACTGCTGTTTTTTTACATTTATTTATGTTTTTATCGTAGATTTGAGGTGGATTCTGTACCTTCTCTCTGGTTCATTGCTGCAGTGGAATGGTCAGCAGAGGTCGGCCAGCTCTCAGAGGACTTCTTCCAGTGGTACTCATCACTGGACACCTACAGAAAGTCATCCACACATTTATAGTTTAATTGAGATTTTTTTTTTTTCCCAACACAAGCAAACAGAAAGCAATCTTGATGGGAAAAGCAATAAGTAATGACATCTTTAGGGAATATCCCACCGCTGATCCCAGCTGGAATGAAAGTATCACTGTGACACCGAGAGATAAACATTCAGTAAACACATCATGATGTCATTACAAGAGCCACAAACACATTAAAAGTCCATACAGGGGGATTACTGGGGGGGATAACAGCCATCATGATGTCATTTGAAAGTCATCCGAGTCCCACTCAGGCGCCATGAGAGACAGGTTCATGATATTTAGGAAAGTTTCTGCATGATCTTACACGGTGTTCTTTGGTGTTAAAAGCAGAGCCGTGCTGCGTTTTCTCCTGCTCGTCCAGAGTCTGCAGCAGGTCCTGCAGCCTCTCGATGTAGCTGATGGCGCTGCGTAAAATCTCCACCTTGGGTAGCCTCTGGTTGGGGTTGGCCACCGTCTTCCTCTTCAGCGCGTCGAAGGCCTCGTTGATCTTCTTGAGCCTCCTCCTCTCCCGGAGCGTCGCCGCCTTGCGTCTGTCCGTGGGCGCCGACTTTCTCTTGCAGATCTTGCAGGCCCACATGAGGCACTGGCCCTCGCAGTGCGCACGGAGACCCGGGGGCGCAAGGACGTGCTCCTCCCCGCTGCTCTCGCCCCCGGTCTCCGACGGCACGTTGTCCTGGCCCGGGGACAGCGGGCTGTCGTTGTCGTTGTACAGAGGGGACACCCCCGCCATGTCCAAGTGCTGCAGTGGTCCATGATCCCCTTCCTCTAAATAGCGCAAATCATTGAAAAGATAAGTGTTGGTCTCAAAAAGGTCCATCATATTGTTGCGCCCCTCTCTCTGTTTTGACAGCGGCACTCTGGCATTTAAATAGAGCAGCAGGGACACAAGTCAACAGGCTTATATTTAGAATGTGAAACTCTATCCAACAGTCTGGCTGCCACACTGCAACAAGCTTCTTTTTTTTTTTTTTTTCAATGGGTCTTTACGACATACTGAGTCTGTGTGAGGAATAAATATACATTAAGGCATTCAGAAGTTATTGAAATGTCACCTTAAGTTTCCTGACAGGTGTATTGGCTGTGTGCAACTCACAAAAAGATCCCGCATGGCGTCGGATCCCTCTGACAAAGTGAAATAAATGACGTGGAGTTTATTGCGTCTGCTTTATAGCTGGTTTATAAGTTGTAACTCAGGGCTTTATTGATGGTAAAATTAATTATTCATCGCTGCTTTCAAGCTCAGTGTTTGAAAATGCAGCTTTTGGGTTGCCAGGTTGTGAAAAATACTTTCAGCTGCTGGCTATGTGGCTGAAAATTGTTTCTTTCTATGAATACAGGATTAAAATTTGAAATGATCCATTCTGCATGAGGTTATACAAGAATACTGTGTGTGAACAAGAACATCAATCAGTGAAGATTACAGTGACTGCTGCAAACTATATGGTTCTGATGACAAAAAAAAGACAAAAACAAAAAGGGATTAGAAAAGCTGCCTATGCAACCCATTTTATTAGAGAATGGACAAGTTGGAAATCAACCACAAACCATCTTTAAATCCACATTACATGACAAAACCTTCTATTTAATCAGTACTAGCTGCTGTAGTGAGGACATCACACACTAACTTATTTTACTAGTTGAGGTTCCCGTATTTGAAAAAGTTCAACAAGTCATTTTTTTCGCTTCCTCTCTGCCTCACAAGCCATCAGGTCTGCAGTTACTGTGTCAATGTCAATAAACTGTTCTGGATTATTTAAGTGCCCCGGAGCTCTTTTCCATAATGTAGAAGGTCAACGTGGGAGGAATCTGATGAATTAATGCATTATCCAATATTAGCAGCTGGAGCTATGCAGGATGATAGAGGGTCGGGGTGGTTATTTTAAAAAGTTATACGTCCTGTTCTTTTTTTTAATGTGATGCATTACTTAGTTGTTCCCTGTAGGAATAATGTGTTGCTCTACTTGTTGCATCTTTACTTTGGTGGTACTTTACAACATGCATTGTGATGCAGCTAACATATGACACGTATGCTTTTTGATAAAGAATTACCAGGAAGCCAGCAGAAAGGTTCACTAAAACCAAACCAAATGACTCGATATGATGGGATTCTGTAGAACAAGCATGCAACATGAGGCACATTTCACATGCCATGTATATGTACTTTTTGTGACATCATTTTGTTGCATTAAAATATTAACTGGTTAAGGTCAGGGGTCATTCGTCTTGACAACTACACGGTGCGCAATGACACACAAAATGCACAAAAAGCGTTGGTCTGGTAACATTGGCACCAATTTGTTGTGAAATTCTTCATGATACCGACAACAAGACTTAAGTACAAATCTAAGAGCGTCATGGTGGCTTCAAAATAAGAGTAACTCTAATTCATAGTATCTGTATGTTACTACAATACCAATATGAAGTGATTGTGGTTGTGTTATTTACCCCCAACACTGATGATAGATCACACACACTTCAACCAAACAGGATTTCTACAATCTGGCAACCCAGAAGCTGGTATTATTAATGGTTTAATAATGGTATGTCATTCTTTTTGCTTATACTAAATCACTGTTTGTGTATCTGTTAGCATTAATAAAGCATTAGTGCTAATTTATAAACACCTCATAAAGTATCCCATTTAAGAAGCATTTGTTTGTCTTAAAGGGTTCATGAAAAATCATTCATCTTCTCACCTCGATAGTGTCAGTTTTTGCTCTTATTTCAGTTTTATGTGCCAAATTTTCTCTTTGATTCCCTTAAAAACAAACAAGACTCGCAAAATGAATGAGCATTCCTGATATTCTGGATAATTTGAACATCTTAGACTTGTCTGCTGATAAAAAAGTGCCTTTAAATACAATATTTTAACCTACAGAACAGAAAGATATCTACCACATGCAGGTCAATGAGCAGGTTGAGCACGTTTCCATGTTTATTTAAGGTAGAATCACTGATGGTGTCCCAGTATCTCATTCAAACACGGAGGTTATTCTAACTGAAAATGTGCTGCGCCTGTTTTAGCCTGCAGGAATTGTACGAGCAACTGTAACTTGTAGAAAATCCCGACATAAATAGACGGGAATGTGCAGCGTCAAAACAGCTTTGACAAACGCATGCTCAGGATGGTATAAATAGAAACGTGGCTCATTCATTTCAGATTCATAAAAGAGATAAAAGCCTGTGAGGAGGTGATATATTGCCTGTGGCATTTTTGCTGCAACCTGAAAGGGCTGTGATTGGAAACTTCACGGGCGGGAATGTGAGGGATTCCTATTTTTGTATGACTGCGTGACCTTGCGTTATGAAATGAAACGAGACGGTCTCATCAGGCGACAGCAGCTTTAGACAAAGACGAGCGCTTTTATTGATTAGCGGCTCACCTGTCCTGATAACAGTTTTCTTTACTGAGAGACAAACGAAGAGCACGTTTCTGGATGAATCACATTTAGAAGGACCTTGAGCGAGACGGCAGCATGAGGTTGCACAATCAGTTGTGTTGTTGTGGAGGCCTGGATGTTTCATCATTTAGCAGCGTGAAACACTACTGCATGTCAACACAACATCTCTAGGTCATCCAACTCATATAGAATTAATGATGTCAGCTATACTGTGCTCACATGCTCACTACTTATGAGCCAAGTGAGAAAAACATTAATATGAGCCATCGTATTCCAGCTTTAAGGTATCGTAGCTCTCATATCCTGCAGTAGTGTAAGTATAACACGCCGTGTCATCACTACGCATGTTTTGTTTTTCACGTGTCATTGCGCACCGTGTGGTGCCAATGAACGACCTCCTCCCCCTGACCTTAAACGCAACATTTCACGTGTCATTTTAGAGGCGTGAAATGACACTTAAAAAACCTTAGAATGCTCAGACGTGACACACAAAATGTACCAGCAGTGTTAGAAATCCCAACAAAAAATACTAAAATAATAACCTCAGCAGCAAACTAAAGGAAAATAATGTAAAACACTGTTGCTGCCGGTTACATGTGAGTACAATCCATGAACCACAATTTAGCAGCTATACAGAAAATAGTGTTGAATAGTGTAACCTTCAAAAACTGTAAAAACAAACAAACAAACAAACAAACAGAAAAACTCAAACAAATACAAGTTGTGAACATAACAGCAAATATCAGTAAAATAAGGATTAGAAAGAAAAATCAGATAAATATAGTGAAACAGTGTGATTGTATGACAACATTGTGTAAAAAAAAAAACTACTATTAGAAAAATTACTGATTTTTGATGTGGAATTTCTAAACAGTTTTGACCATTTTACTTTCTTTTTTACAGTGAAAATGTAAATTAATACTTTAAAAAATATATGTTTTACCAGTTACTGTTAACAATTAATCCTTAACATACATAGTTTTTCTCTCAAATGAAGTCAAAAACTTGTAAAATATTGATATTTTTAGCTGATACAGTAAAACAGCTTCATTTTATGGTCAAACAAATGACCTACCATTTAAAAAAACTAAACTAAACTAACATTTTTTTGTTGTTTGGGCCTGTTTATTTGCCATTAACTGAGATTTAACTCACTATTTGTACTTGAACATGACAGCAAAAAACTACACAACAACAGTAAATTGTTCAAACAAATCCAAAAATTAAAAAAAAAAAAAATAAAATCATTTATACAGTGTGATGTGCAGCACTGTTCATCACATGTGTAACATGATTAAAAGAGTAGACGACTATAATGCTAGTATTTGTTGACGTTTGACGTTGACTCCATTTCTATGAACATTTATCTAAAACTTTACTGATTGTTTGTGGAGTGTGTTGTCTGCCTGCAACATGTGTGAGAAGTAACTGTCATGAGTTGGGAACTTGCATGACATCATCAGGACCTGAGTCACACATGTGTAGGTGACCACTGGTAGGCGTGCATTTGCAATTTCTTCATGGACCTCGAACTGGAACAAAAAGACAACTGCACATTCAGCCGTGGTGATCCAACCTTCATATGGAGGATCATCGCTGGTGATGAGAGGGAGGTCTGCAGCTTCCACCATGACAGTGAAACAGCAGTGGAAGAGCAACAGAACCAGAAAAGCCATGTCTGGTCA